CTCCAGGATTTCAATNACTTTTGATCTTTAAAAATGTAGAAAATGGTGAGAATGTGCCTGACAACCAAACATACCTGGCTTACTTAATCCCTGCATCTGGAGTGAATGGTGGTCTAGTGCTCCATGAAAGAGGTCTGAACTGTACCTTCTGTGGCTCCAGGATTTCAATCAGTAAGAAGGTTTGTCGTTGCCCAGCATCTCGATCAGGTTCCACAGAGCCCTGGTATTCAGAATCTAGTCACTTCCTCACCAAGAAGAAGGGTCTCTGATATGTGTGTTCCAGGAGGCATTCTGCTGTTGTCCCCTCTGCCTCTCTAAGGAGGCCTTCTCCTCCATGGACTCGCAATTGCTAATCAGGGTGAGAAAGGCCAGTTTGTCACTTCTGTCCAAAAGACTGACAAGCTAAGATGCTGGGTGGAACTCAGAAGAAATTACTTTCAGTTTCTTGCTAGCTCCAAGTTAGCTTACTCTCCCTGAGATGAAAGATTAGGACTTGAATATGTCTTACAGAAATCAGTGGATTTCTGCAGGAAATGTTGGTTGATTGGTTAAGCATACTTCCTTTGGAGTACGTTAATTTGCCGACCAAGGTCTGTCTAGTCAAAGCTATGGTTTTTCCAGTAGTCGTGTATGGATGTGAGTGTTGGACTATAAAGAAAGCTGAGCACAGAAGAATTGATGCTTTTGAACTGTGGTGTTGGANACTTCCCAGGTGGCTCAGTGGTAAAGAATCTGCCTGCCAATGCAGGAGACACAGGAGATGCAGGTTTGATCCCTGGGTCAGGAAGATCCTCTGGAGGAGGAAATGGCAACCCACTGCAGTATTCTTCCCTAAAAAACCCAATGGACAGAGGAACCTGGCGGGCTACAATCCAGAGGGTTACAAAGCGTCAAACATGACTGAGCGACTAAGCACATTCAGGAATACTTGTCACACTATCATCTCTAGTTCACACACTGTACTGGGAAAATGAAAGAAGGCCTATAACATGGTTCCTACAACTAATGAATTTACAGTCAGTGAGATGAGGGAAAACCTAGAAAAACTCAGGAAAATCATTTTATCGGTAAAATGTAAACTCAAAAGTTTGAGGTTTTAGGTGGAAATTATGTGAAAATTAGAAGATTAAACAAAGTTAAATGAAGATGAAATAAAAATTTAGGTCATTAAATTAATTTTAAAAATATATGGTCATTAAAATTTTTTTTTTTTAATTCTTTGGCCACATTGAGTGGCGTATGGGATCGTAGTTCCCTGATCAGGGGTTGACCCTGTACCCATTCCATTGGAAGTGTGGAGCTTTAACCACTGGACTGCCAGAGAAGTCCCCGTCTAGCCATTTTTGAAGAATAAATGCCATTTTGGAGACACGGGCCATGCTCATAGGGCTTTTCATCAGAAAAAGTGAAGAGACCATGTTTTGCTGCCTTGCTGTTGTCACATCTGTCTTTGATCACTGATTCAAAGACACAAGTGAAGGGTGCTATGCAGCTTGGGTATTTGACAGGGTTACTAGCCAAGTAGTGCCCTCGGGCAGTGTCACTAGGAAAGCTCTTTCAGAGCATCTCCGAGGTGCTGAGTGCAGCCTGTGGCCCAGACCCTGTGCTGTCTCAGCAAGGTCTCAGCTCCGCAGCCTTCTGCTCTTCTCACTCTTTGCCTTCCTCAGGTCATCTGGCTTCAGTGGTGTTTGCATGCAGTGGACTCATTTTCCTAAACCTGTGTGCTGTGCTTAGTCGCTTCAGCCATGTCTGACTCTTTGCCACCGCATGGACCATAGCCCACTAGGCTCCTCTGTCCATGGGATTCTCCAGACAAGAATACTGGAATGGGTTGCCATGCCCTTCTTCAGGGGATCTTCCCGACCCAGGGATCGAACCCACATCTCCTGTATGGGCAGGTGGATTCTTTACTGCTGAGCCACCCAGGAAGCTCTTCCTAAACCTGCTAGATCCAAAAATGAACTCATCTCCAAAGGGTGGAAAAACCCGTTCAACCCAGGCATAGTCTTTGGTTCTCAGAAGTTGCATATTTTTGGTATTAAATCAGCCAAGTAACTCATTTGGTGAAAAGTATTAAATGTTTTGAAAATATCATCATTTTCTTACATCTTAGGTTTTGGAGACTGGGAAATGGAAAGTTTAAGCTTCCCTCAAAGTTTTAGAAATTATGACTCAAGTATTACAGTAGAATTCTCTTATTTTCTTGATGTGCTCTTATCCTCTGAGGCATCTGTGTGTCTACATCTCCGTGTTCATATGTATGTGTACAACAGTAATCCGAACACATTGGGAGAGTGAGTTTTGCTTTCTAGTGTGGCTTNTGCTCTTATCCTCTGAGGCATCTGTGTGTCTACATCTCCGTGTTCATATGTATGTGTACAACAGTAATCCGAACACATTGGGAGAGTGAGTTTTGCTTTCTAGTGTGGCTTGAGCAGTCTTTCCTTACCTGTCTTGCTTCTTATTGACTATCATCAAACACTTTAAGAAAATCAGATAAGAGTTCTGGATAATTTTTATGCAGATAAGAGAACTTAGTAAGTTTCTAACTAAGAAACTTATTTCTCTGATGGTGTCCCTTCTCTAGCAGGAAAGGTAGCATGCCCTATGTTAGCTACATCCCTAATAGCTCAGGGACCTTTGGCTTATTTCCTGCATTGCAGGCATCTGAAATCTAATGTCCAGACAAAGGAAACTTGTATCTACCACTGAACTTCAGCTTGAAAAAGCACATAGAATAGGGAAAGCTGGATGTAATGATGGCACTTCATTTGTTTGAAGACTCCATTTAGCAGGGGTTGATTTTACCTTGTGAAGGAAATTGCCAGCCTGTATACCATCATATCACTTAAATGGAGGTCACTTATCTAGCAAATCCATTCAGAAAGGGAAAGTGGGAGGAAGCTAAAAAGGCCTTTGAGCAACTGGCTAAGTGAAATGGTAATAGAGCATAAGTTTTTACCTCCAAAGAGAAAGAAATCCCCTTGTTCTCAGGCACGGCTAATTTAGTTTTGATCCATCCTTCTTTTTAAAGGTAATTCACCAAGCGTGGTTTTCTGTTTTCCTGATTTATAGTTGGAGAACACAGCCCCAGAGCAGCACATTACTTGAGATGGGCACATGGGGAACTACAGATGATTGACTTAGTGGTTTAGGAATTGTGCTTCCTAACTCCTGAGGTTCTTGTTAGCTCTGAAATTCTTTGATTCTGTGATTCAAGTCATTAAGAAAAAGCTAGGTTGTACAGCTAAGGTATGCACAGTTTTAGAAGATGTATTGTGTATTGTTGGGAAACCCATGCCACTGCTTCTATATCACCTAAGCCTTGCGGGCTGAGTGTGGCCACTCTTCCTTGTTGCTGTCACCTGAAGGCCTGGAGAGGGACTTGCTCACAGGGTCCACTGGCAGCCTTGTTGGAGGACTGGCCTTTGCAGCCCCATCGAGGGATGGCTTTTCTGCACTTGCATTCTGTTAGTGTCCTGTGCCGTGGTTCACTCTACCAAGTTGGTGGGGGGCATAACCCATTCCTAGAGGGATAAACCTTGGTCTTCAGACCATATTCGGTGTGAGGCCCAAGAAAGTGGATGGTCCTGGCAGTTACTGCCTTGCTGAGAGTCAATATTACTAGACAGGACCTTCTACTACCCAGTTTTTTCCTAATTTTTTTTTTCATGCTGCTCTGTTAGTTTACTTTTCTCTAAATGTGAAGAATGAAAAGTGAAAGTCTTAGTTGCTCAGTCATGTCCAACTGTTTGTGACCCCATGGACTGTAGCCTGCAGACTCCTCTGTCCATGGAATTCTCCAGGCAAGAATACTGGAATGGGTGGTCGTTCCCTTTTCCAGGGGATTTTCCTGACCCAGGGATCGAACCTGGGCCTCCTGCATTGTAGGGAGATTCTTTACCATCTGAGCCACCAGGGAAGCCCTTACTAACCTATTTTAAATGTATTAACCCTTTTGGTTTATTTTTCTCCAAATGCGAGGCGTATGGAAATTAGAAAGAATTTGCAGAGTTTTATCATCTTGATTTTTTTCAACCCAGTTCTCTGTTTTCTTTTTTAGTGGGGGTATGCAGGAAAAGGAGCTGCAAAGTCAGTGGCTGACTTGCTGAATCTTCTTTTCTTTCCTTAGCTATATCTTGGTTAGAGCATCAAATTGCACCCTTTTTCTTGTTCGATTGGTGACTTTTTGTGATTTTTTTTTCCTATTCACTTGTTTATTTTCTTGGGAATTAGGAGAGGAAAAAAATCTGTAGTCCAAATTTATTCTCCTGTCCTTCTCAGGAAGTCTCCTGGAGTTGTATTTCTAAAATGCATATTTGATTATGCAACTCCTTTGCTTGAAACCCTCCAGTGGCTCTCTTCGCCTTGTTTTTGGGATAAAGTTTAAATTACTTCACCTGGTCTGTAATGCCGTGGTCTCTTCCATGGTCTGACTCCTGCTTACTTCTGTATATTATGTTGCAAATTTTCCCTTCAGCATCTACATTCCAGGCATACTCACCTGAACCGTATTCAGGTTCCAGAATTAACCTCCATCTCACCCCTGTGCCTTTGCAATGCTCCTTTTTTGCCTAGAATGTTCTTTTCACTCCTTTTCCCAGCTAATTTCCACCTGCTCTTTAGATCTCATTTCTCCTTGCCTCTGGGAAGCCTGTCTGACCACTCAGCCCTCTGAGTCTACTGTTTGTATCGTAATTCCTGTGTAGGGTCATACTGTTTCCTAATCTGCTGTTTAGATCGCTGTTTTCTAGTGTATTTCTCCCGTTAGACCAGTAGTTTTCTTGGGGGGAGATGGTGGCGGAGTGTGGATCCCATTTCAATTAGTAAATCTTTTCTGATGGCATACGTGTTTTCAGGGTGTGTGTGTGTGTGTGTGTGTGTGTGTGTGTGTGTGTGTTTCACAGTGCATAGCACAGTGCTGGGTATAGAGCAGGTATTCAACAGATGCCTGTAGAATAACAAATACTTGCTCATCTAACTCTTTGGTTGTTTTGCAGTTTTATGTACGGGGAGCTGACCGATAAAGATACCATTGAAAAAGTGCGGCAAACCTTTGAGAACTATGAGATGAATTCCTTTGAAATTCTGATGTACAAGAAGAACAGTGAGTATTCAGAACATTCTGAATCATACCTTGATGTGCTTGGAAGAGCATATCTACTCTTTCTCTATTGCTGTCCTGGGTTTTCTTTTCTCTCGTCAGCTAAATGTTGCAGCTTGAAGCCATTGTGTACGTTGGACTAAATGGTTTGGATTGATGAGTTCCAGTTCTGCACAGGAGCATTTATACTTCTCACTAACCAGTTAAGACTTCTTGATGTCTTTTCTGCCAAGAGATAGTGTTTTTCCTATTGATATTCTTATGATGAGTTGCTGCTTAAGATGCTTGTAGACTGTAAGGCTGTTTTGCCAGGAGAGAGGAGATGGGTCAGATTCTCTGTCCAGTTCACCTTCATATCTATTTCCCTCTAGCACTTAGCACAGTAGATATTATCAGTTGATTGCCCAATTAAGAATTTCTGAATAAAATTTTGTTTCCCTGGTGACCCCAGTTTTTTGCAAAAGACAGTATTAATAGTCATATTGTTTGTATTGTTAATTTTTATTTGTTTTCTCTATAATCACTTCTAAAAGTATAGTAATGAAGAATCTAGGCCAATAGCCATACACAAGTATAAAACTTACTTTTCTCTTAGAGGTTTCCTATTGAGTTAGGGAGATGAATTACATTAGAAGTATGAACAGTGGGCCATATGGAAGCATGACAGTAACAGGGTGCAGATGTATTGAAGGGTGCTTTCTGTTTTTAAAAACACTATTTGCTTTGTAAAGAATCCTGTTCTTTATATATAGGACTGAACTAGGTAGGTCGTTGGTTCACTAGAAAATGTCCAGAGTGGCCCAGGTGGCACAGGAGGAAACGTGTTTATTTTGGTGGCATTCAGGATGATGTGTTTCACTCTTGAAAGCAAAGGGCACATGTGGCTTTTATCCAGAAGGACCTGGGGCTTTTTTTTCAGTCTGGAGTGCTGGAGCAGACAACTGAAAGGGCTTTTTCCTGGGTGGCCGCTGCAGATGCTGAGCCAAGAGATTATCTTTGAGCATCAGCGACTGTGCGAGGGCTGGTCCCGGGCTTTCTGTCTAGAGCTGCTACCTTGCCTATTTCAGCCCCTCAGCCAGGAGATCTAGTTCCTACCCTGCTACCTCCCCTCGTTGCTATCTTGAGACATTTTGCCAAATAGGGCTGAGAGGAATGAAGTGGAGCATGGTGACCGGCTCTCTGCCAGCCCTTCCTCTGGGAACACAACTCAAAGCCGCGGCTCTTCCCAGGAGCATGCCAGCAGTGCCTTCTCATGGGGAGGGGACTCTGCCTGTGTGCCCCGAAGTAAGGGAGTGACTTAAAGGCTTCCCACGCTGGCAGCTTTGTGTGCTGAACAGCGTGGGTTTCCTCACGTCACAGAATACTAATTGGGATCCCATGAGGCGCTAGTGGTAAAGAACCCACCTGCCAGTGCAGGAGATACAAGAGACGTAGGTTCAATCTCTAGGTTGGGAAGATCCCCTGGAGTAGGAAATGGCAACCCATTTCAGTATTCTTGCCTGGAGAATCCCATGGACAGAGGAGCCTGGTGGACTACTATCCATGGGGTCACAAAGAGTTGGACATGAGTGAACGACCAAGTGTATATATACATAGCATAGATCATAAAGACAATGCCCTGCAGTTAGATTTTGCTTCAGAGTTTTCACGCTTCATTAGACTATGCATTTAACTTGCTCAAAGTCCACTATACATGTTGGGCACTAAAGAGAAAGAGAGGGATACAAAATTAAAACCAAGGTAGCGATTCCACTTGCTGTTGTCTTCAGTGGACATATACCCCAATCCTATTGCACTAAAGTATCTCATTTCACTAAAGATGATTCTGGTATTTCCACTTCTGTCCCTTAGGCAGACAAGGTCTATGCATGGAAGCAGGTCAATGCAACTCATGTTTTTACCAAATTATCAGCATCTCTCCCCTCCCTGGAGGTTGTGCTGGGCTTACTGAGAGAGACATGCCAGTCCCCGGAGTGGCATGTCAGCCTGGCCACGGACTCTACATCATGGGTGATGTGGAGGCATTCTCAAGGGTAACTGAGGTCCTATGAAACTTTTACCTTAGCTTTGATTTTAGAAAATACACTCAGTGGAATGTATGACTCCACTTTATTTAAAAATGTTGATTCTCTAAGCCCAGTGAGGTAGGCGTGGTGGATGTCATCTCCATTGTATAAGAAGGTAAATTCCTCACTCAAGGTCATGCACAGCCAGGACCTGGTTTCCAGTGCTTCCTTATGGCTATTTTCTCCAGACTGGGTTAGATTTAGTGGGGGCACAGGGCAGGACCTCCACATATGATGATGCAACCCTGCATAGGGGACAACTGGAAACCAGTTTGCTTGCCGAGTCCTCAGCGTACCCTGACCTAAAACTGCACCTGTGCTGAGGGGTGAACTTCTCTTTTGGATTTGCAAAAGGATGTCCGGTGCGTGTGCAGGAGTTCCGTTCAAGGTTCAGTTTAGTTCAGTCGCTCAGTCGTGTCCAACTCTTCAAGACGCTTTGGACTGCGGCACACCAGGCTTCCCTGTCCATCACCAACTCCCGGAGCCTACTCCAACTCATGTCCATCATGTCAGTGATGCCATCCAACCATCTCATCCTCTGTCTTCCCCTTCTCGTCCCACCTTCAATCTTTCCTAGAATCAGGGTCTTTTCAAATGAATCAGTTCTTCGCATCAGGTGGCTTAGGTATTGGAGTTTCAGCTTTAACATCAGTCCATCCAATGAATATTCAGGAGTGATTTCCTTTAGGATTGACTGGTTGGATCTCCTTGCTGTCCAAGCGACTCTCAAGAGTCTTCTCCAACACCACAGTTCAAAAGCATCAGTCCTTCAGCACTCAGCTTTCTTTACAGTCCAACTCTCACATCCATACATGACTACTGAAAAAACCATAGCTTGGACTAGATGGACCTTTGTTGGTAAAGTAATGTATCTGCTTTTAAATATGCTGTTGGTCATAGCTTTTTTTCCAAGGAGAAAGTGTCTTTTAATTTCATGGCTGCAGTCACCATCTGCAATGATTTTGGAGCCCCCCAAAGTAACGTCTATCACTGTTTCCACTGTTTCCCCATCTATTTGCCATGAAGTGATGGGACCAGATGCCATGATCTTAGTTTCCTGAATGTTGAGNATTGGAATGAAAACTGACTTTTCCAGTCCTGTGGCCACTGCTGAGTTTTCTAAATTTGCTGACATATTGAGTGCAGCACTTTCACAGCATCATCTTTTACAGTTTGAAATAGCTCAACTGGAATTCTAATACTTTGTTCGTAGTGAGGCTTCCTAAGGCCTACTTGACTTCCCATTCTAGGACGTCTGGCTCTAAAGGTGAATGATCATACCATCGTGGTTATCTGGGTCATGAAGATCTTTTTTGTATAGTTCTTCTGTGTATTCTTGCCACCTCTTCTTAATATCTTCTGCTTCTGTTAGGTCCATACCATTTCTGTCCTTTATTGAGCCCATCTTTGCATGACATGTTCCCTTGGTATCTCTAATTTTCTTGAAGAGATCTCTAGTCTTTCCCATTCTATTGTTTTTCTCTATTTCTTTGCATTGATCACTGAGGAAGGCTTTCTTATCTCTGTTTGCTATTCTTTGGAACTCTGCATTCAACATGGGGCAGAAATGGACGCAGATAGTGTTGGTTTCTTCCTAGGATTCTGTTCTTTGCTGCAACTCCTCCAAATCCTACCCTCTCTTGAGGAATTTAGAAACTTTAAATTATTTTTTAAGTATGGGAATTTACAGTTGCACCAAATTCTGTGCCTTTTTTCCAACAACTTCTTATTGACCAACTAAAATATACCTCAAAGATATTGTAAATTCCATTCCACAAATTTTGATTTCCCAGTGCATGTAAAAGTTGTGTTTACACTATAACTGTAAACATAACTGTTTATTAAGTGTGCAGTAGCATTATGTCTAAAAAAGTTCATATGTCTTCATCAAAATTAACTAATTAATTTACTGCTAAAAATCGCTAACCATCATCTGAGCCTTCAGTGAGTTGTAATCTTTTCGCTGGTAGACGGTTAGAAATACTGCAAAAAAAAAAAAATTACCAAAATATGACACAGAGACATGAAGTGAGCAAATGCTGTTGAAAAAATGGCACCAATAGACTTGCTCAATGTAGGTTGTCACAAACCTTCAACTTGTTCAAAAAAATGCAGTGTCTGTGAAGCACAATAAAGTGAGGTCTGCCTGAACTCTGTTAGACCCTGGGCTTGTTCCTAGGAATGCGGTTATGAAAAGACAGACCCAGCCTCGGCTCTTGCAGTGTTCGCAGCAGTCAGGGGCAGCATCCATAGTATGGAGCTGTAGGTATTTTGATAGCAGCACACCTGGGGATTGTCCCTTCACTCCCAAAGGAGGTCAGGGAGGGAAGTCTTCCTAACAAGCAGCAAATTCATGCAGAACCCAGAGGGTAGTGCTGAGTTAGGCAGAGAGAAGGGCAGGGAATATCCCAGGCTGCTGAAAGGAATGTGTAGATAACAACAGCAGTGAGGGAGCACTGAAGTTTGAAGAGACATTCAGAACAGTGCTCCTCAGACTGATGTGTATATGAAATCACCTGCAAATCAAAATTTGCATATTTCTATTCAGACAGGTCTACCAAAGGGCCTGAGATTCTGCTCCAGGTGCTGCCAGTGCCGCTGGCCCAAGTATCACATTTTGAGTAGCAAGGACAGAAAACAGCCACAGTGAGAGCTGACTTCCATGCCTTTCTCTTTTACAGCACCCAATGGAGTGCCTAACACAGAAAGTGCTCCACCTGAAGTGATGGAGCAGTATCTCTTGAATAAATGAGGAGTCGTCAGTGAAGCTGGAGAGCTTGGGAAGGGCCAGTCATGCAGCCACATTTAAGACTTTAGAATTTATCTTAAGGGTAGAGGTGGTGGGACCAGAGAGTGGGGTGAGGGGCATTGAGGCGTTTTAAGCAGGGTTTATTTTTTGTTCAGTCACCAAATTGTGTCCAACTCTTTGCAACCCCA